ATATATATATAATACACAAAATAGATGCTGTACAAATAGTATCCATATGTAGAGAATTTGCATATATACAGAGTTTGCGAAATCTGCAGCATGAGTACACGAAAAAATCTATATAATATACGCATGCGGGATTTTCTGTAAGAGGTGAAGGTACTTCAAGAAAAAGTGATATTTATTTCAAGTTCCAGATTCATAGCGATTTATAGTTAAATCACGCAGTTAAAAAAAGCAAAAACACAAACACACGCATGGACGTACAAACATACATGCATACGGAAAAAAAGTCTCGCCCAGTGAGTTTTTTTAGCAAAAACCTTTCAGAAATTCGTGAAAAACAAAATGAAAATTAACCCTAACAAAAAAAACCGAAGTTTTTGAAAACCGAGAAACATCTAGTTGAAAGACTGTTTGCAAACCGTGATTAGTGCTATCATCCGTATCCCTCATCTGACACCCATTCAGTGAAACGAGGAACATTATCACGTTTTGAAGAACCGTCGGGGCGGGTATGGTGTTCACAAAAGGAACTTCTCACAGAAGCCATGTTTCTACACGGACTCGAAGTGAGTGGCACAGAAATCGCCACGCAAACCAAACACCCCGCACGGTGCATTTTCACGATATGCTATTGTTGAATCAAAGCGGAAGAATATGAATTCTTTTTATCCCGTAGTAAAAATTTTTGCTCCTAATCAGTACCGTATCTAATCAAGGGAAGCACTTCTGGAAAGCCTCGAGCCTTCATGTAATCAGAAAGCACTTCCGGAAAGTCTCGAGCGAGAACAATGTTCTAAATAAGTTCTTATCAACTACGGGCTGACTTACCTTTACCCTTAACGTTCGTGACACTCTCCGTTTCTTCCGGGTGTTTCTCCTGCATCTGCTCCTGCGCTACTTTATGGCATACTTCGAATGCTTGCCCGATTGTTCGCACAACACGCATTGCTTGACTCTGCAAACGTAAAAATGAAGTTGAAATTCAATTAAAATTTTTTGAAGTACTGTAAAGAAACTACATATTAAGCAAGCACCACAGTCGATTTATCTACCCATGCATACGTCCACGTGGGCGCGTTTTTTTCGACCGTGTGAGTTAACAGTACCAAAATTTGAAATCAAGAATTGACAAACTAAAGCATTCCACCGGCACCTTTTTACTGCTCTGTTTCCATGCAAAATTCTCCACCTCATCCATTTTCAAGGATATTTGAACGCAAAAACAATTTGATTCCATTTATTTAATGAACTAGTTACTCGTTTAGTTTAAATGCTGTTGAAAGTAAGTGAAGATGAAGAAAATTAAGGCAACAAAATATTTCTAGTAAACCCAGGCTGGAACGCACCAGGCCTCCGGTGCGATCATGCATTTTTGCACTAAACTCGCAGATTGCTGTTAGCAAGAATGGTCCCTACGCTGTAGCCTAACACTTGGGCTCATATTGGCCGTGCTTTCACCCCTTCTAACATGCAGGAGGAAGGGTGTCTATTGGAATGAAGGTGGTGCATCATAGAGTCGCACGGACATCCAGGTACATGATTACCGGTTTTTTGCATAAGCTCGGTCGTTTTTTCAGTAAATGCTCGCCTTGTGAAAAAATAACAAGTGCAAATTATCTGAATAAATGCAAAATTTCCAGTTCACTAAAAAGTGGAAGTATTGCATTGCTCGAGTGGTCGTCTGTCAAACCCAGGCTGGAACGCACCAGGCGAGCCGGTGCGATTATGCGTTTTTGCACAAAACTTGAATTGGGTTAACTGCATGAGCGGTTGTTTCTTCACACCTACCTCGTGTGCTTAATGCCGAAAATCATCGCAAATTTTGCATGAAAAGAAATAAACTATTTCCGTGTAGCAGTGTTTTTTGAAAGTAACCCAACTGTTCAATGAGTAAT